AATCTGCATCTCCCCCGCCGTCTCAGATGATTTCGATGCCCTCTACTGTAATTCCACGAGCAATTAGCGAGAATTCCGTGAATAGTTTTTCGACACTCAATTGTTCCTCCGCAAAATGATGGCTAAAACCGAAATTGACTTTACCTTAAGGAACGTTTTTGTCACAACTGACCGGTTTACAAACATTAAAACTTCTGCCACATCCGAATTTAAAAATTTCTCTCCCAGCATGAGTCAAGTCCATCACGATCAGATTCGGACCTTGTGGGAAGAGGTGGAAAAAAGCTACGAGATCTGTTTCACCTTTCGCTTCGTGCCCGCTGATAGTACGGCCACTGCGACAGTGCTTGAATCGAAGTAGAATGATTGTTAGTCAATGTATTCAAGATTTGTTGCCCAACTCCAGAAAGCAACAGAGAAGCTCGCCTCCCCTTATACGGGTTGTCGCCTGCCACCGGTGGACACCGAAGTTTTTGCTGGTGACTATCTTTGGTGGCAACGGTTCAGAGACCTTTTAACTGCACGCCATTGTTTCCAACGCCCCGCTCACCAATGAAAGGTTCGACTCAGAGTGGCGAAGCCTCACCGACCACCTCAAAAACTACCCCGTGCGTATATGTCCCCGTTTCCTTGAAATGGGTGTTTCGAGCGATCGGATTTCAGAGCTTCAGAGCTTCTAACAGAGCTTCGCAAAGCTCTGCCACCCTTCTCTCCACGGTACTCACGAGCGTCTCGTGTTTCCAAGCTTCGCCCTGTCAAGGTTGAGTCCTCATAATTTGAGTCCTCAGAATTATTAACTTTCTAGGACTCCAATGAAGTTTAATTTCCCTTTGTGAAGCTATCTGACAATGGTAGCTCCAGTTTTATTATTTGTTCCTACATGCTTACATTGTCGAAGCTTCGTAATAATTGGAAAAACTTTACCACCATTCAGATGGTTAACGATAGGCTTTCGGATAGGAACCATTAGATTGTCCTAGTCCTAGGAGAGTTTAACATCCTTGGTCCACAAATGGACTCCTAACATCTCGTTGTCTCAAGAATACATCTGACCGTCCATTAAAAAAAGTGTTTTTGCAAGTCCGGCTGAAGTCGGCTGAATAATTTTAAATATGAATTTAATTGGTCCGATCTTTACAGTTGCCGTGGATACTTTTACAATGCCATGAGTTCATTTTACTCAGAATTTGTTCCGTTATACTATCACCTAATTTCGAATGAGTCTCCGCGGATTACTTTAGAGTTGAGTCGTCTTAAAAATACAAAATCTAGGTTGTATGCAAATTAAACTCATCGGTTCTTAAACTATGCTATGTATGTAGCTATGCTTGGGGTCGCTTGTCAGTTGGACTTACAAACAGATCTTAATTAAATTATATTATTATTATTAAACTTGAACGACTTTAAATCTATTCTAATGAAATTTTTTATCGTTACTAAGCTTTCAACTTACACGTTGAAGTTTTGCTTTTCGGAAATAATTAATTCAGTTGATGTTTTGCAAGTCCTCTTGTATCTTAAACTTGATTATCGATTATATATGTGCTGGGATTTATTACTTCTTGAGTTCGTCCAATTTTAGAATATGCATCTTGGGTATGGAGCCTTTACTTCGAGATCCAAAGTAAACGCACCAAATCGATTCAAAAGAACTTTTAATTTTTCACTCTACGATTAAATTGGGATGCAGACTAAAGATTGCCGTTCTATTCTAATAGGTTCCTCCTTATAAACTTACCTTCCATAGCAAACCGTTTAGCCCGAGAGTTACTCTTGTAAAGAAATTCATGAACAATTGCATGTTCGAGCCATATGAAAGTATATAGGAACCTTAGTATATAACGCGTCTGGAAGTGCAATTTTAAATGAAGAAATATCTTGCTTCAACTTAAAATGGAATTTTGAGGCGGAGAATTCAGACATAGAAACATTCAATTTGTTGCTTAAGTGAATAGAAACATCTTTTTCGGATGCATCAGAATTAAGGCGAGAGACAAAAACTAGCCTTTTTGGGGCACTGCCAGCAAGAGGCGCCGGAGATCGTTGAATGCAGTGGTCTATGGCTAGATTTTGGAGATGAGATGGTGACCGCCGGGCCGATCGCAAAGTGAGCATTCTTAAGTTGGTTCAAGGCCAGCAAGGCTTTGCTTGCGGCAGCAGCATGCGACTTAGTTGCCTAAACCACGTTGACTGTCTGCAAGGTCTGAGATGCGACGATATCGGCTACTTCAGAGCAAGGGGCAGCGTTCAATACTTGACCAGACGCAGCGACATCGGCAGCTGAGTCATCGGCAACACCCGTGGTATCACAATTGGAAGGGTTGCGTGGGCTGAACAGCAAAATGTGGCTCGCAAGAGATTATTAGAAGTAGTTCCTGTATTGCTATTTGGTGTGACGCTTATCAGTTTTATCATTTTGAAGAAAGATTCCGTTTTCTGTAAACGGCTTGCTAAATCCTTGAAATCAGTTGCTAAAGATTAAAACTCCAAATGGGTTTGTCTCATAAAAATCCGCATTTTAGATTTAATATGTAGACAGCTCGGGCACGTCTAGACCAAGCCAGCGTGATACCGTATGCGGTAAACGATGCGCGGGCCAACATGCCCAAGACCGGCACAGCCTTGGTGTGCGGCGTTAGTGCACAGCCAACAATAAACAGTGGCCTGCCGCGAAGTAATTTTGCAGGCTTGTGGACAATCCGTGAAAAGACAGGTTGACATTATGTTGACTTATTGATAAATCACAATAAGCCCTCGAAAGTAAAAGAAAGGCAATTAAATTGTGTGGCGAAGGAAACGATCAAAACAGAAACAAAGCAAGAGAAAATATAAGCATTTTATCTCAGCTCACGAAATTATGAGTTTGTGTGATTGTTCGCGATAGGCAGATCACTGGCAGCAACAAAAACACTGATACCGATGCATCAGTAAGCGGTAAACGCACAGCATAAGAAAACAAGAACGAAAGACGTGTAGAAAAAAACCTATTTTTCGCCGATTTTGTTTTCGGAAATTAAAGTCACTGTCTTTATATGAGATGATCCAGATGTTTTCGGTAAATGAAGATCGCCAAAACACTGATCACTTGCCTACAATTTGGACTTTTTAGAATAAATATTCACGGTGAAAACTTTAAGCTAAGGTAGAGCAAAGGAAAACACGTCCGACTCGTAGGCAAAGCTTTCGTTGTTGTCGAGGTATCGAAAACGTGGATGTTGATGTTTTCATATCAAGGCAAGTTCTAGGTGTCATGTAGTCAGATATACTGCTCATGGTTCAACTAATTGAGCTGTGTCCGTATGGCGACATATTTTCTAGCGCTTTTAGGCGTTGTGCAGCCTTTCCCGCAGTCAGTTGCGCGTGGATATTCAGGGGATCAATTCCAATTAAGGTCTCTTGAGCTTTTGTGGGGGTGGACCTCAGCGCCCCAGATGTGCAGAGCAGTGCCTGCTGCTGGGTTCTCTCCATAAGCTTTTTGTAAGTCCCCTTTTCAATGGCCTCCCACTAAGACTCCGTATAGCAGTGTCGGACGCATCACCGATAAGTATACCCCATGTGCTGCTGAGCATCTCCCTGGATGCATATAGCGCAATGGTGGCCTTTTTCATCCTCTCTAGTACATTGGGTTTCCATGCCAGCTTGCTGTCCAATACAGTGCCAAGGTATTTGACTTGTGTTTTCGGGTCAGCCTGATTGTATTGATTTTTGGGGGGATCCATGGCGGTACCATGTATCTCTTAGTGCAGAGAATGTGGTCCGTCTTGTTCGCGTTGATATTGAGTCCTACATTGTCTATCTCCACTCACAAGTCTCCCTGAGTGTTGTATAATATTAAATCTGATGGGAGATGCTGTTCTCTAGTTGCTAGTACTCGGAGATCGTTGGTATCGGTGATCTCTTACAAACTGGGAAGTGCGCGTGCATTAGTGTTGTAAGGCCCGGGTTGAGGTTGGGCCGGCCCCGGCGCTGGGTGCCGACCGGCCCTCAACCCGACAAAGGCGCGGCCCGCGTCTCCGACCCCGTCACCCGGGTATTGGAGCCACAGGACTCGCCTAGGTGAAAGGACACCTCCGGACATAGACATGGCGACCACGTCACCCGTGTGCCGCCCGCAATGCTTGAGGAACCCTGATAAGTCGCGGCCCCTTCAACCATGGGTAGCTTCCACACAGGGGTTAGGGATGACTCGTTTGCCCGCGGCGGTCACGGCCCTCAGTCGTGAGCCGTTTCCGCCTTGGCCACCAACCTGGGTGGTAGAATAGGGGAGGAAAGGGAACCCTAATTGGACAAAACACACAATGGTAGTGTTTACAAATAATTGTTTATTGTATTAAAGGTTGCCCTACCCCTTCCTTTTCCTGACGATCAGTTCACCCGCTCCTCATGGTTCTTCATGGGACCACCCATCCACGGCGACGGAACCTATGGGTGGCGTCGTTGTTGCGGTCGCTGACCGCGTCGTCGCCCTGAGCCTGGGTCTCCCGGGACTCTGACTCCTCGCGGCTACCGGCTCCAGGAAGCGTGGCAGTGTTCTCGGCCGCGTGGAGCCTGGCTCCTCTTTTCGAATTAAGAACCGACTGCCGGACGCACGTCTGCCCTCTGGGCTGTTGAAAACCGACACCCGGAGGCTGATCTGTCCTCTTCGCGTGTTGAAAACCGACTCCCCGATCGGTGGGCAGAAGAGCCTTCGTCCGCCCTCCTTTGCCGCTTGGCACGAAACTCGGCGTGCCAGCGTTGGGCTTTGGCCGTTTCCCGAAGATCGTCATGGTCGTCGGCGATCGGATTCGCTGTCTGCGTGCGGTTTTTGCAGAAGCTCCTCGCTGTGATCCCGTGTGTGTGTGGTTGTGTCGATGCTCGGCGCTATGCTGTACTTGGCGCTGCTCGGGTGTATGGCTATGTTGCTGCTCTGCCGTGCGTATGGTTAAGCTTGTTGCTCTGCTATGCGCTGCTCTGCCGTGTGTGTGGGCTCTGCCAAATGTGTGTGGCTGTGAGCTCTGCCGATGGCGAGTGGCCTGGCCGCGTGTGTGGGCTATGCCGAGGGCGAGTGGCTCCGCCGCTGTGGGCTCTGCCGACGGAGAGTGCGTCTACCGATGTGGGCTCTGCCGCTGTGGCCTCTGCCGATGGCGAGAGGCTCTGTCGCTTCTTCTCTGCTGCGTTGCTCCGCCTTGTGTGTGGCCCTGCCGTGGGCGTGGCTCCGCCGATGGCGTGTGCCATGTGTATGTCGAATCTGGTGGGGGTGTTGTACGACTGCTCCTACTACTATCCTTACTACTAATCTTATTACTATTCCTTCCGCTATCCCTACTGATAGTCGTACTCATATTTTTATTACTACTCCCAACGCTATCCCTACTGCTAATCTTACTACTAACTATTCACTGTGCACTCCTTAGGTCTTCTGTCTGATTTTCTATACTATGCCTACTATATACAAGAGTTACATCTACAAATATTTACATAGGTGAGTGGGGAACGATCGGTTCCTCACAATATAAAAGAATAGGCATTATGAAAGTAGGCATTATTATTTTCTTAAGTTTGTTTGCTTTAATTTGGTCGAGGTCGGTCGTGTCGATGGTGCCTGATACAATTTAATGTGCACAAGAAATCCAAACCTGGCCATCCTGTGGTGTATCGTTATTTCCGCACCTGCAATTGTAGATTGTACAGTCGATTATGTTCGAAATTTCTGACAAATTAGTCAACTGCCTTACAAGGCCATACTGTTCTCACACTAGGAACTTCCCGTCCAAAACCGGAATGTTGTTCGCATGAGCGAAGTCGGTGGTTGTCCGCAAGCTTGCGGAGATTTTGTTGCGGAGATGGTTTGTAAAAGGGCGTATCTGGATTATTTCGTACTTATCAAATGCTTTCCTTGTGGACTACTCTCCTAATAATCGGAACAAATGTTTCGTATGCGTTTTTCCGAACAAAGCGGTAGAAAGTTTGTTCCTCCCCTTTTAGTATTTGTTAAGTGTACTTATTGCATAGCTTCGGTATAATACTCGGTTCCGCCAATTAGTGTTAATCCTATGCAAATTGGTTTGTTGTAACATTTAAATTTTTGGCAAAGTTATCTTTTTGATTCGCTGCTAGCTTGAATAACTTTCACTGGTCTGTGCACTGTGACTGGACTTATTATACTTTACGGTAGCGCAAAGGATCAGTACTACGATGTCGACTATTGAAACCCTAAGAGCTACTGTGCGCTTGCAACATCGATGCTGCATTGTTTTTTTTAGTAGAAAAAAAAGTTTCGGCGTTTATTGAAGCTTAATTAAAGCTTGGTCTTGGTGTACGCTTGGTCTTGGTGTACGCTTGGTCTTGGTTTACGATTCAAGACTTACATACTGTAATAAAGTGACGCGTTCTGTTACTGACTGACTTCTTTCTATCAAAAAAATTTGCTTCCGAAAGCAGTTTAAGAGTTTGTCGGTGGTTTCAATAAGATATGACACCGAAAGTTCACTATGCCCACTGCACTGGGAGGCGGCAATAAACTGAGTTTTGACCTCTAGGGGGTTTTGCTTTTCTTGTGTAGTCAAGTGAAGTGTAAAACATTTACCAATTGATTTTATCAATGAATGTTTTAGACCGCTTCACTTTTCCGTTATTTTTCTGGACGTTAATGCACTACGGTCACTACATTTAAGTGGCCCGTATGACACCAGGCTCGTGCCTGTTTGGGTTAGGTGTTAGTAGGCGCGATGGAAAATATAGGACGGGATAAGAGGAAATTGACTACCGGCGCGCTGCCAGGTTGTTAGCTTGCATGTTTACTAAGTGTGTTAGTATTAAAGATTTTAATTTGGGAAGGGTATCTACGTTAGAGATTAGTGTGTACAAATCATTATAACTTTCACATAACACTCTAAAAGGTTCATGCAGTTCAAAGGAGGTTCTACAGTGGCGCAACACTACTGGGATATAGGATCGAGAAGTTCTACATGGTACGTGGAAATTAAGCTGACTCAACAAGTCAGCACTTTCCACATCACCATGGATAAGGTTAAAAATAAAGGTTATTCCGTGTTTTATTATTCAGCGTGTAAGTAGCAAGCTAAGGAACGACACGACAGAATGTCATTAGCTTGCATTTCGAGCCGTTTAAGTTTAATAAGTTTACACGGTACCAAGTTTGAAAATTATTGAGATCTGTTTGTGAATCCGACTGGCAGGCAACGTCATTGTTTTGCATGCATAGCTTGACGTCATCCGCGTACATATGTAAGCAATCTGGAGTTAGTCAAGACTTTGGGCAGGTCATTTATAAATAATGTAAACAATAAGGGTCGCAAATGGCTTCTTTACCAGATGTAACCCTTAGAACATTAGATAAATTATTCTCAAAGATCACCTTTTGCGTTCTGCCATTCAAATAACTTGAGATCCAATTAAGAAGATCACTTAGAAACCCCATTAAATAGAGTTTCCTTACGAGGAGAGAATGTTTAACAGAGTTAAATGCTTTACTGAAATCAGTATAGATTACATCTGTCTGACAATTATTATGGAAGCCCTTTATAAAATAGAAAGAGAGCTCCAAAAGATTTGTTGTTGTTGATCTTCGCTTAATAAAACCATGTTGACATGGAGATATAACTGATCTACAAAGGTGCTGGAAGTGAGGAGTACTAATATTTTCGAATAATTTAAGGTTGGCCGATAACTTAGAGATTCCTTTATAATTGCTATCATCCAATTTGCTACCGTTTTTGTGAAGAGAAATAATAAAAGATTCCTTCCAAATAATGCGAAAGTGGGAGTTTTCTAAGGATAAGGTGAACAATTTCAGAAGGGGATAGCACAGGGCGTCGGCACAATACCTGAGCACACAGCCACAACTGGCTTGACACGATGAAGATCTAAGACGTGAGAACTTTCGTTTAGGCTAGGACAGAAAATTAAGTTTGATTTGGTTATGTCGTAGGAATAGGTGTGGTGTAAATTCGAAGAGTTTGAATAAGTTGTCTATACATATATATAAAGAGGAATGGTTTGATTTTTTGTTTGTTTGTATGAATTGAATAGGCTCCGAAAGTACTTGGCAGATTTGAAAAATTCTTTCACTGTTGGAAAGCTACATCATTCCTGAGTGACATAGGCTATATTTCATTTAAAAAAAAAATAGGCATCCTTACTAAAATTACGATAACGTAATCCAAGGTGTTAAAAAAATATCAAAAAACTACCTTACATCGCGTGCGCTGCGAAAACTATTGATGATAGAACAAAATGATATACTACATTTTTTTAGAACACACCATTATCTACAAAAAGTCAGCGGTAGCATATCTCTAACTATTACAGTCATGTCACAATAAGCGTTTTTTTTATTGAAAAAAGAAATTAAAATACCACCGCTACAAAAATGGCCCAGCAGGTGGTCAACTAGCTCATATACCGAGGATACCGATGATCCAAAATGATATGACAATCCCATTTAACGGCTTCAATTTCCGGTAAAAACATCTTTCGCATTAACAATTAACAAGTCACAAGGCAAAACCTTCGAATTAGTATGGATCGATCTGCGAAAGAAATGTTTTACTCATGGTCAACTGTATGTTGGTCTATCGCGAGTCGGAGCCAATGAAAATCAATTTATTTTGCTGCCACAAAATAAAAAAACATCAAATATTGTTTACAGAGAAGCTCTAAAAAAATAAATGTATTTAGTTCAAAGGCATTTTTTCTTTTGTCATTTTGAAATGCCTAAAAGATCAAGATATCAACTTTCTAGAAATAGTACCCAGGCCAGGGCATCAAAAATACGTCGAAATGAAGAATCTTCATCAGAAACTGAAAATCGTCTTTCAATTCATAGACAATATGTGGCACAATCGCGTGCTAGAGAGTCGAGTACCGAGCGTTCGCAACGACTCGCTGAACAAAATTTGAGAACCTCTCAAGCACGCGCGTGAGAATCGAGTCTTGAGCGTTTACAGCGTCTAGCTCAACAAAATTTGAGAACCTCTCAGGTACGCGCGCGAGAGTCCAGTCTTGAGCGTTCGCAGCGCCTTACTGAACAAAATCTAAGAACCTCACATGTGCATGCGCGAGAGTCAAGTACTCAGCGTTTTCAACGGCTTGAAGAGCAAATATCAGAAATATTCAATCTCGCACTAGGGAATCAAGCTCTGAGCGTTTCCAACGTCTGCAAGATCAGAGAGAACGACAACAGACGTCAAGAGCGAGAAGTCGCAATCAAGATATAGCCCACAGTAAAAGATCGGCTTTTAGATACGATCCACAGATTGATTATGCTCAACAGTCTTCCGTCCAAATCGGCGACATGAATAAGATCTGCCCTAAATGTTCAGCCAAAAAATGGGTCGATGAAACTAATGGCATGTGCTGTGCTTCTGGAAAAGTTAGTCTCCCCAGTATTCAGGAATAACCACAGCAAATAAAAAATCTTTTGACAAATAATAATTCGCTATCTAGACATTTCATAACCAACATCCGTAAGTACAATAGCCTATTTCAAATGACTTCGTTTGGCGCCAAAGAAATAAGAGAGGGTAATTTTATGCAAACTTTTAAAATAGAGGGACGATCATAATTGGTCCTTTCAAAGGTGAAGATGTCCTCATTCCTAGGATTCCTCTGATCCCGACTGATACACCGTTCCAGTTCAAGAGATTGCAGTTTCCCATTCGTTTGGAGTTCGCAATGAACATTAATAAAGCTCAAGGTCAATCTCTGGAGTTGTGTGGTCTAGATTTGGATGCAGATTGTTTTTCACACGGACAATTATATATTGCGTGTTCCCGTGTCGGAAAATCAGATAGTCTTTATATTGACGCAGAGAATGGAGAAACGAAGAATATTGTATACCAAAAAGTATTTCAGAATTAAATGAATTTGAAAATTATTCTTTTTGTTTGACTTATTTCTTATGCGTGCAACCACAATATGCCACAGAGAAACGTGGCAGGGTACAGTTAGTTTGAAATAACTGCGAAAACGGAACAAATTCAGTAATAAATGAATTCATGGCACTGTAAAAAATATCCACGGCAACTGCCAGTCAGTGCACGTGTATAGATCGGACCAATTGAACTCGTTTATAAAATTATTCATCCGTTCAAAGTCCGCCTTCTGAAAACATAGGACTTTTTTAGCTGAACGGTCAGACATATTCTGTACGTCAGTCCCAATATCAAGAGCCACATCGATGATAAGGATCTTCGGGCTGCGTCAGCGGCGCCCCCTTTACTAAACTGAGTCACGCAGGATCAGAGATGAAACAAAGATCGAGCAAGCGTTGTAAGGAATTTCGCACATGGTTGACTTGAGACAGCGAAATGTCGAACAAGCCAGCGATAAAGTCATGTTGTGTAGATTTAAGGAGAGTATTGGTGGAATTATTTGAGCACCAATTAGCACCAGAGCTAGTAAAATCTCCTAAGACTACCAACTGGTCTCTATACTGGAATCCATCTGAATAGCGGAAAGGTGATTCTAATAAATAAGAAGTTCCGACGAGGTATGATATGTAGGAACAGGTAATAAAAATGGAGCTACCGTTGATAGATAGCTTCACACAGAGGAATTCAATATCGTTGCATTCGTCGAAGGTAAATTATCCTGACGTGAGTGAGGAGTCCACCGCTATAAGAACTCCACCTCCGCGCCTGATAGGGCGATCTAGCCGATATACTGTGAACACATCTGGAAAAACTTCGGAGCTCAGAATCTCCGGCTTGAACCAGGTTTCTGCGAGCACAATAACCTGAGATGCAAATGAAAGGCTATCAGAATACGAGCTATGAAGCTTACTACGTAAGCCTCTTGCGTTCTGATAGGAAGTACCTAGGGAGTAGGTTAGTTGAGTCGGGATTGGACGTAGAAGGCGCAGTGGTATGATCAGCCCTGGGAAGAGTTATTCCTTTTCTTCGCTCCGAACTCCTTAAGAACAAGGTACTCTGGCCAGAAGTTGGCAGAGCAAATAGTGTTAAAGAGCTCGTTAGAGACATTTGTTTTGAAAGATGAAATATCCCTAGCGTAAGAAAATTTAAACTTTCCACCTTAATCTTTATTTTATCGGCTATGGCTTTGTCTTGTATAAAGGCGAGAACATCTTCCGATGTTTGATCAGGGGAGATCCGGGAAACAAAAATATATCTCGTCGGAGGAACCGCTATAAGGGCTTTTGGCAAGGCATATTGGTTATCTACAGGGCCAGTGTCGGCCGGTAATCCGGGCCTAACACCCTTGGCAGATATAAGGGTGTGCACGGGACTTTGAGGGGTCAATATTTGCGACCCCCCAGAGACAAAACAGAAATCACCGGCAGTACGGGCACTCCAACTGAACATTCGGGTACCGACTCTTTTCTAGCGCTCGATCTCAGCACTCTTGGAATTAATGCTGAGGTCGAGGTCTATGCCGAGGGAGGCTGCTGCTGAGAGCCCGTTGCAGGTAGTTGGGGTCCGTCTACATGCTGCCCACGAATAGCAGTTTTTTTGCCTCATTTAATGGCGTAAGGGTATTTAATTGGGTGTCCAGCACTAAGAACATATCAAGAGTTTTACGAAAACTCGTTAGAATGCTCTTAAAACCGTTTTTGGTTTGCCGCATGAAGGACATCATTCCCTTTCTACATGCGACAGGCCTCGCAGCAGTAACGCAGGCCGATGTTTTTTTTTACATCGTCCACCGCCCTAGCTGCAACACCAATACCCTTGGCGTGCATAACGTTGTCGCACATCCAGCAGAAGATTGTAAGGTAAGGTGTAAGATGGTGCACACGCGAAGTGACCGGGAAGTTATAAACACAAAATAGAAAATTTAAGTTAACCCCGGTGGTTATTTCCAAACTGTAGGACAAAACGAGAGCGCAAAAAAAAAACACGTCCGTTCTCTTAGAAAGATAAGAAAATTGAATGATGCGCAAAATCTAATTCAAGAAGATTTAGACAAAAAAAAAGACAATACAATTTTAACTGTCAAAATAAATCCAAAAAATGCACAAAAATGTGCAGTTTTTTTATAATTTTAAAAATTAATTTGAAGGGAATGAACAGTTTTCGTTTTGAAAAAAAAGGGCCGCATTGAAGTTAAAGCAACTCAAATGTACCCAAAAATGTATCCTAAAAAGCTGAAATTTTCTGAAGTCGGATTTTAGTTAAGCACAACAAACACCTTCCAAAAAATATGTTCAGGTTTAATGTTTGCTATTTTTTTTTTAAATTTTGTCGGTCTATATTGCTTATCGACTACACAGGCCTACAAATATAGGGGTCTTGGGAGAGAGAGAGAGCTCAGGGTCATTTCCGAAGTAATTTGGTGTGTAGAATTCTAATCCGTCGAAAAATTTTCCCATCATGTCTGAATTTTCAGAAATCTTAGGTTATGAACCAAAACCAAAAGTTTTTTGAACATTTGAGGTTAGAGAATGCAACAAATTTTTATGGACTGACTTTCCAGTCGCATCATTTAGTGCAACTCTTTTCCTTTAATTTGAGAACTCAAGTGATGAACTATTTATTAAATTTGTATCAATTTTACGAATGCTATAGCATTTAGTTTTCATGCAAATGATAATGACTTAGAGGTGGGTTTCATAAAAGAGAGTCAACTTCCGATTTGTAATAGTTTATCTACTTATGTTACTTCTTGTAGCTTGCACACGTTTTGAAAGTTTTGTCTAGTTTAGGTATGAGTTTATGAGTTACGAAACTAAAATAATAGGATTAGTTTATAAGTTAAGTTTAAGGTACATTATAAGTTCAACTACTCATTATTTTTTTTTTTAATTATTCACAACTCAACTAAAACTATTTTTCTTTAATTTGAAACTCAAGTGATGAATTTTTTTTTAAATTTGTTTCCATCTTACGAATGATATAGCCTTTAGGGTTCATAAAACCGCTAATGACGTCGAGGTGGGTTTCATAAAGGAGAATTAACTTCCGATTTAAAATATTTTATCTACTTAGGTTACTTCTTGTAGCTTGCACATGTTTTGAAAGTTTTGTCTAGTTCAGGTATGAGTTTATAAGTTATGAAACTAAAATAATTGGATTAATTTATAGTTTAAGCTTAAGATACATTATAAGCTCAAAATCGAATAATTTTTTTACAACTTAAATGAAAGTGAAGACATTTATGAAATAAATTTCTTTAACTATACTTTTTTTTCCTCCAAAATTAAAGCTTAAAAAAATGATAATAATAATAAGCTTTCAATACAAAATATTTTAATCCAATGACTTTATTTTGGTGATTGTCTTAAACTGATGAAAGTTGATTTGTAAATTTAAATACTATTCAATATTTATAAAATTTTGTAAATATATGAAAAAAATTTTACTGGCATTGAAAGTTGATTAAATTTAAGAAGAAATTATTTACTATTCTCTTTCTGACTTTAGAGATTCCTTATTATACCCTTGCAGGGTATTATAAAATAAGTCAAAAGCTTGCAACGCAGTGAAGGATTCATTTACGACCATATAAAGTATATATATTCTTGAACAGCCGAGTCGATCTAGTCCTGTCCGTCCGTTTGCCCTTTGCTACAAAATCAAGTTTCTCAGTTTTATAGCTTAATAAAGAAAACTTTGAAGCTAGTTTTCTATATACTCTCACTCGTATATAAGTTGGAATGTATCGGACGACTACATCATATAGCTGTGATAGGTACGAACGAACAACATATTTTTATCTATTTTGAAGTTGCTTTTTAATTTTGATTTTACTTTTATGAAAATCTTCGAAGATATCATACGAAACGATCGCTAATTATAAAGAAAACGCAAAATTGTGAATAAAGAACTGTAACAATGTAAATACATTCCATGTAGGTAAATGTTAAAACAGAATTTTTATGATATGTATAAATGTTTATATATTTTCTGTTGGTTTTTCTTTTAGTTTGATCAAATTGTGCTAATTTAAAATTATACAATTATAAACTGCAAGGGTATATAAACTTTGGCTTGCCTAAGTTAGCGCCCTTCCTTGTTATTATACCCTTGCAGGGTATTATAATTTCAGTCAAAAGTTTGCAACGTAGTGAAGGAGGCACCTCCGACCATATAAAGTATATATATTCTTGATCAAGATTAACAGCCGAGTCGTCCTAGCCATGTCCGTCTGTCCGTCTGTTCGTCTGCTCGTTTCTACGCAAACTTGTCTCTCATTTTTGAAGCTATCTGAATGAAACTTTGTAGTTAGTCTTCTATATACTCTCACTCGTATCACTATATCACTATCACTATATCATATAGCTGTCATAGGAATGATCGGAAAATTTTTACAAAAAAAATTATAACATTTTCAGTTTTCAACAGAATTTAATCAAATTTGAGAAATAGCCATTTTTTATATTAATCTTCAATTTATGTTAAATTTTATGAAAATCGGACTACTATATCATATAGCTCCATTGGGAACGATCGTTGGATGTGGAGGAAAAACGCAAATCTGTAAATGTAAAACTGCAAATATAATATGTATAGGTGAATGAAATGAAAGCAGGTATTACTTCATTGTTTTTTAACATAAATATATATAATTTATATTGTATGGATTCCTAGTCATCGAAGTTCTATCTGCAAGGGTATATAAACTTCGGCGTGCCGAAGTTAGCTACCTTTCTTGTTATAATTTATTTAGTTAAGACTTTTTATTAATTTTGACTGTCAGGAACCATAAAGTAGAATCCTTTTTATGTATTTCCATTTAGAAAGAAAAATGGAATTTACTTTAAAGTAAAATAATTTTAAAAACTATCATTAAATAACTCCCATCTTCTTATATATAATAAACTCTCTCAAGATTATAAAAATAATGATAATTTGTACGGATATTGCAAAATATCGTATAGTGCTGATGGTAACTTCGAAGTGACTCTTGCAACAAAAGCCACAATTTACTCTGAAGGATTAGTTGAATGGAAGCCACCAGCCATATACAAATCATCCTGTGAGATAGATGTAGAATATTTCCCATTTGATGAACAGACCTGTGTTCTAAAGTTTGGCAGTTGGACTTATGATGGGTTTAAGGTAGGTCTGTCCAAATCTGAGTTACTTTTATTTGTACGAATTTGCATATGGTTATTTTTTGAAAATGTATCATAAAAAGTTTTGCATATTTTTTTTATTTGTTTTAATTTTATTTTTCAAGTTATAATAAGGTTTAAAAACATAAAAAGCTTAATCTCTACAGATCTATTGTATACTGCTTTTAGTTTCAAAGTGATATTTTTACAATTGCATATAGTAACCAATTTTTTATATATTTTGTCGTTCTATATTACAAAGTAATATTTTTACAGAACATGTTCAGATTTAAATATCGGTACACGTGAGTATATAGAGTATTTGAGATTATTCGCAATCAAAATTTATTGTACACCATACTGTACAATATATTTAATGTTTTTTTAACATCATCAGTCAAGAAAAATTAGCTATGTTCGTTTGTCCGTCTGCATGTCCGTCAGTTCGTCTGTATTAAAAAAAAAAAAAACAGATCTTGAGCTAATAATAATATAATGTTTATTATTTTAAATTAAATCTTGGAATTTGTGGGATTAAATCCGCTCCGATTTTGCATTAAAGTGTTGCATCGTCTAGACATCCCATTAATTTGTTTGATACTTTTGGTAAGCGTAATAACACACACAGAAGAAAAATGGAGGAGGGATCAATCAATTCAGTTTCGACACATATTTTATCTTTAAGTGATTTTTTCTGCCCCTTCCGTTATATTTCGTGCACATACTTGTTGCATATTTTGCGTTTCAATCTTCTGACAAAATTTATGATTCCTTCTGCAAGGGTATACAAATTTGATAAATTTAAAATAATTACTGTACTTGAGTGATAATAAAAAAATCCAATTTCTGATTATAGGTTAAAATACATAACATAAGACTTATATATCCAATATAATTGAAATATATTTTCAGCGTGTGTAATATTATGCTAGGCTTGCGTTCTGGCTATTAAAATTCATGTTCCATCACATAAAGTACATTTTTACATTTACATTTGTACAAAATCCTTTGTACGTCTTAGTGCAATAATAAGTAAACGGAAGTTTCTACATGTATCATATATGTTCTTACATAAGCGAACGAAGAACGTCACTATCATTTAATCTAAATTTTTTTAATTTGAAGATTTTAATTTAAATCAAAATAAAGAAGAATAAAACTAAAATATAAAAAAATTATGTACTTAGTATATGATGCGGTAGTAAGAAACTTTGCAGAGAATTAAAAAAATAGGTCAATGCCTTATAATAAGTCAGAAGTTTGTAAGCCAGTGGTAGGACAGATCAAACGACTATCTCATACCAATAAACACGATCGAGAATTATTTCAAAATTATTATGACTTGCCTGTTTTTAAAACCTTGCAGGGTATTATCATTTTATTCAGAAGTTTTTCACGGAGTGACTGAGTCTTAATTCTACCTAGCTATGTCTGTTTGTACGTCTGTCCGTTTATACGCAAAGAAGTCTGAAGCTATCTGAATGAAACCCTTAAGTTATTTTCCTTTATATATTGTATACTAACTGTACGCTGCCACGTTTCCCTGTGGCATATTCAATCCTTTTGGTTCGTTTTTGAATTTGAGAGCCTGACAGTATGTGCAGACCTGATGCATCCGGCCAATAACGACATTGCGATTCGAGCTATAATCAACAGTTGGATTATATCGGAATGCAAGACGATTGTATTGCAGGTTTTGATCTGCTGCAAGCTGTAAACGCTTCAGCTACCCTTGCCTTGTCGCGTTCCTTATTTTGAGAGTGAATCAAATCGATTGCTGCAGAACGCGACTGCCAAACTCTCAATCGTTTTCTCTCAAGCCTATCTGCTCGTCTATCTGCTGATTCCGCGTTGTGTACCTGCATTGCTCTTAGCCGCTCAGTCTCCCGGATGGAGGCCCGTTCTTCGTCAGTCATATTCGTAATTGCGAGTACGACGACCCAAACTCGACTTCTTGGGTGGCATGACTTCGTTTCTTACTGAAACTGAACAAAAAAATAACATTTTAATCTCCAATTTCTTCTTTCAATATGTTTTGAATGTTTGACAGGAAATGCTTCGATTCAGTAGTAGATCTCAATCGTTTTCTCTCAAGCCTATCTTCTCGTCTTTCTGCTGATTCCGAGTTGTCCATCTGCATTGCTCTCAGCCACTCAGTCTCTCGGATGGAGGCCCATTCTTCTTCAGTCATATTCGTAATCTTACGTCTTTTTGCTTCTGTATTGCGAGTACGACGACCCAAACTCGACTTCTTGGGTGGCATGACTTCGTTTCTTACTGAAACTGAACAAAAAAAATAAAATTTTAATCTCCAATTTCTTCTTTCAATATGTTTTGAATGTTTGACAGGAAATGCATTGATTCAGCTGGCTGCCTGTAGATGGCGCAGCAGTAGGGGCACTGGGAAACGCGAAAAAAACTGATATATTCGCAAACGCAGATAAGCTATCAACATCAAAAGTAGACAATACCCGAGCTGGAACCTCAACGCATGTTGTGTCAAAATTTGGGCTTAAACGGTTCAGAACTTTTCAAGTCTATAAAGGAAGTAGACACGAACAGAGCATTTTTATATATATAGATAAGTCGAAGCAGGCCGGTTTCGGAACGGATGGCATAATAATGATGGGCCAATTAAAAAATTATATTTGCCAATTTTCAGCATATTTATACCATTGCAGTTTCAGTCTGAAGTTTGCAACGCCGTAAACAGGTCACCATCGACCATAGAAAGAATATATATTCTTGATCAGTCAGTCGATCTAGCCATGTCCGTCTGTCCGTTTCTTCTCAGCAAGTCTATTAAGAGCCTACTTGCATTGTCACTAGCTGCTTGTTAGTTTTCATGGATTTGATAACCGCTTGGTTATCCAAGTTATCGCCTTACTGAAAGCCTGGCTGCTTCCGTTATGGCGAGTATCTCAGCCTGAAAACCCTTTTCGATCCAACAGTGTTCAGCGTAGATCCCAGCCCCACACCGCAGCTCATATTGGAACCGTCGGTCTACGCTTACTGTGTCCGTACTCCAACTTTCCAATGTCGGGTATGAGTCCGTCAAACCGTTATCGAAGTTCATCATTGATCTTGTTGTCCATTTTACGTTTGTCTGCATTGTAACGCTTTCAAGTATCTTAACGTTCCCTCCACTGGGTTTCCTTAGGCAAATGCTTGCCTTCAGTCTTACTGCGCTCGGCGCGGCAATGTCCTTTACGAACAATCGGCATGTCATCCAGGATAGCATTTAGAGCAGTAGCGGGCATAAGTGCCTGCCTCCGCGGCTCCCGTGCATGCTGGTCGCTGTATCCTTGTTAATTTTGAGATGTTGTTCGCTCTCGTTAGTGTCGGACGCCGTACTAGGGTCCCGTGTCTTATTATTGGCCGTACCTTTACTGTGTTGAGACATATTATTATCTCCAAAAATGTTTATACAGAAGTAGAATGCAATATTTGCTTTTCTGCCTCTTTCCATAAGGTTCTTCTTCCATGAGAGCTTTGAGTGCACTATCAAACCGTGATACTTTGCTTGCTCTAATAGTCTTAGCTCTATGCCGTTTTTTAGTGAAGAGTAAAAGCTCTGTTTTTAGGGTTCATACCTAATCCGCAGGTTTTTGCCCACTTGTTTATGCTACTCAGCGCGCCTTTTACTGTCCCGCTGATAACGTCAGCATACGGTCCTGATACTAGCAAGACCACGTTATCTGCGTGCACCACTGCTTTATGTAGTTAATATTAATTAATTAATTAATTCTTGCAATTGCAATATGCAAGGTTATAATAACATCGGGGTGTCGAAGTTAATATCCTATCTTATTTTTTATTTCAGAATTTAGGTGTAAGTCTTAATTTTATTATTATAAGCTATAGATGCCAAAAAATTAATCGTAAATGAAAAGAAAAATGCAAAGTTGTGAATATAAAACTGTAAAGTAAAAAGCGAATTTTTATGTTATTTTTTAATATTATATAAATTTTGTATTTTCTTTTCATTTCATCGAATTTTATTAATTTTTAATTATCCATTAATTCTTAATGGTCCAAGTGTAAGCTGCAAGGGTATACAAACCGGCGTTGTTCTAAACATATTTTCAGAATTTAAACGATTGTTAAATGTAGAGGAAAATGCAAAACTGTAAATTTAAGTAAAAGTTTTTGTGGGGTATAAGATAGTTTTCGTAAATATTATAACATTTTTTATATTTTAAAATATGCGGGCGATACAAGCAACCGACGCGACTGTAAAGAATGTTCCTGCTTATATTTTATTTTGTTTTCATGTGTCGATGACGAGTTTGGATTTTTATATATGCTATTAATTTCCACCCTTGCTACACAGTGTTACCGTGAGGTCAAAGGCATAGTCGGTAGTCATAACTTCGTTTTTTTTTAAATAAATATGTTATATTATTTATCATTATTGATTAATTTGCAATCTATAAGGGTAAACAAACTTTTGTATTCCGAAGTTAGCTTTAATATTTCATATTTTATTTTACAAAGACCCTATTAGATGTTTCTGCTCTATCAATTGAACACTTTAATCAACTGTTTTCTTTTATCGGCTTAACTTCTGTACGCTTTCAAACAAAGTGTATATTCATTGATCTTAAATGCATCTAGCTATTAAATGTTTAGCACAGTTTTACTTGCCAAATACATTTTTATACAAGCTACACAGATCCCATAAATGTGTCAGTAGTTTTAAAAGCCTATTTTCGGGACTTTTAATGTCGATAAAAATTTTAATAAAAATGTAATTAATGGGTCAGATGTAAAAATTTTAAGTGGTTTGAGTAATAAAACTGCAATTAATGAGGATTAGCTGTCAACCTGTCAGTGGATGGGGTAATAAAGATGCAATTAATTATGGTCATGCATGTAAAAGAAAACTTGTGTTCCCACAAGGAAGGAGCGATACCGAGCGATCCTGGAGCTCACGTGTACGTTCTTACGACCCCTCATTTAAAAGAAGGGACGGGGGAGGCACCGCAGCGATCCCGTTTACGC